TAAACCGTCAAGTACTGAGACCATGTACCGTCGAAGGATGTGGCTGGAGACACCACACCTTGTTACACAGGAGGCGAGTAGAGCAGAGGGATAGTAATAGTAATGCCCACACTAATATTGAACTCTGTACTGAGGAAAGTGTTAAGTGTGTACAGGAACAAGTAATATTTTCAATAGTTCCTGTGTCGGTAAGAAAAATGGAGAAAGGGTGGTGGAGACTTGCGCTTTCCTAAATAGTGGCTCAGACGCCTCACTTATTAAAGAAGATCTAGCTAGAAAGTTGGGTTTAGGAGGAGAGTTTGTAGGAAGTAATTTCCTACAGGTTTAATACTTAACTATTCTCTAGACTATAGAGCTCATAGTCCTGGTTTAGCCAAAGTCAGAGCAAGTAAGCTATTTGGCTTGATAAACTTCATCTGTTTCTAAAACGTTAAATAACACTGTTAGTATACAAATAAACAATACACCCTATTAAACAGGGGAAAGAATAGACATAAATAACATACCAAACAGTAACTATAGGATTGGAAAAACGAGTCAACGAAGCGAATAATGTTTTGTAATGAACGTTAATTTATGATTAGTGAACAAATAAGGCGTAGGCATACAAGGTCAAGGAAAGTTAACGTGGTGGCGGGCATTCTATATTATCATTGGTTTGTTCGTTTATCGATCACACTTCACAGAGTCCAAGACACTTTTATTAAAATCGCTGAATAGCCAGTCCACATTTCATTGTAAAGAGGTTCAACTAGAAGTTTCCTCCTCAAATTCCTCTTCATCAATTAAACTTCCAAATTTAGTGACAGTCGAGAACGGGGCTGCGCCGAAAAGGCTACAGAGAACTCCACTAGGTTTTTGTTTTGCTACTTTCCGCACCAACCTATCTCACATCCGAAAAAACTTAATAAGCCAAGGATCGTATTCGACTGTGTAGCACAATACGCCGGGACGTCCCTGAATGAAAATTTGCATTCTGGTTCAGATTTGGCTGACGATCTTGTAGATGTCCTCATCAGATTTCAGCCACGGCAAATAGAACTCACGGCAGATATTGAAGCTACGTTTCATGTAGTAATTGTCCCGACACATGATCGCAATGCCCTTAGATATATGTGGTGGCCGTAAGGTGACATAAGAACTGATCCAAAATCCTATAGGATGAAAATACACTTGTTTGGTGCCACCTCCTCACCAAGTTGCGCAACGTTTGCTTAACAAAGAACTATCCTAGATAACGAGGCTAAGTTTCACGAATGTACTATACAGACAGCAAAGTAATAGCTCTAAAATGACCATTTAATATATTCTTTGCTGAAGGAATAGATATGTTCAAGGGGCTTCGACCTAATCAAGTAGGTCAGCAACAATATTGAATTAACGAAGTTTATTTCGGAGGAAGACTGCATAGAAAGAAATATAGACATCTGTTTATCTATGGGAAAAAGTGAAAGAACTCTAAGAATAAAGTGGAATGTTTAAGGGATATTGAACAATCGATCATTAGTAAAGCTAGATAATGGTTTTGATGATCCGGATGTACTTACACCTGATAAGTTATTGTTAGTTAATAGAGGTGTATCATTCGACGTACTTATATAACAGAATATGGAAAGAAACGTGACCACTAGGCAACCTATAATGGAACAGATGGTTGACGGAGTACCTACCAACCATTCAGGCGAGATCCAAATGATTGGATATTGGAAGAAATCTACAACTGGGAGATTTAGTGTTAGTTAGCAATACTGGCTCACCGAGTAATCTGTGGCCGAAAGCTATGGCTAGAGAGGTCAGTTGTGGTCCCAATGGACATCCGATAACTTGAGCACGACAGCAGCGAAGCCTGGACGTGGTGTCCGTCTGGGGGGATGTTAGTTATATCCATAGCTAACCAGTCAAATCGTTACTTAAGCTCTCACCACGTCAATCTGGTCTGACATGTCTGTTTCATGTGACTCGCCAACTGAAAGAAATCGTTATCATATTATATTAGTTAGACACTTAATTTTTATTCATTTTGATAAGACATGCAATACTGGTCGGTATGTTTATGCGTTTCAATTATTGTACTGATCAAATCGTTATTTTTACGTTTAGAAACAGATAAAGTTTGAAGGCAAGTTGTTTTTGTTGTGACTTTAGCTTTCACATAGACTCTGGGGTCACCAGTATTGCGTTTACAGTTCTAGTAGTATATCCGTAGGACAAATTAAGTCCTACAAAAGCATCGTGCACCTTTTGAAGGAGCTATAGACAGAAGATTTATGTGAAGAGGCTCTCATCTATGAATCGCCGACCAAAGACCTCTCGTATGCGTGGTAACATTCCTGTCTCTGAGCTATGTCGTAATTCTACACCAAGGGAAAGTTGACCTGACCTTTGTCTATCGGCTAGATCTTTCCGTTTAAGGAGTTTTTTTCAAGTTATCATAAGGTTCGGAAACATCACTGGTAAATATACTAGATGTAACGTTCCTGTTAAAATCGTGCAGAATCGCCTGGCCACTGCGATGGATTATGCACATGAGTCCATAACGCCGTGCTTACAGAAGTCAGATATTGGTTTGCAGAACCAGGCTTCGACATTATCTAGTCAGAATAGTACAAATTGAAAGGTGTGGCTCATATGCGTCCTAATCTTTAACAATTTGGGTGCCTGTTCTGTCATAATGGAAACAAAATATACAAATGGTCTAAAGAAAAATATCCGAAAATGATATCAAGATATTGGCGAATAAAAGGTAATAATAAAGAACAGACTTACAGTTAGTCGTTTGGTGTACAAGATCACATAGAACTCACCAATAGAGATGCCACGGTTTGAAAACAATGAAGATGACACAGGTATTCAGTGTTTGACAACGCTTCTACCAGTAACACCTAATATGATTTGTACCCACCGAGAGAAATCAAAAGACAGAGTCGAGGAGATCGGAAGAGTATATTTGGCGATAACCAATATATCGGAATTCTCTGATCTAATCTGGCTAGCGATTGCGGTAGATGTTGAGCACGGCGTTACCACACGTGATCTGGTGCGGATGCCTGACCGAGCGCCTTCAGCTAGATGAGTCCACTAAAACATATGGTCAGCATCCAATGTCGAAAACTTACAGGGCTATTTATTTTGGGGATTTATTTACCGCTACAGATCACTCCCCCCTAGTGGGTTAGTGATGACCCTAAGACGTGGCCAGCCAGAAGTTTAAACCCAACGAGTTTGTCGTTGGTAAACACTCTTCTGATAGCTTGCTAGGATTAGCAGCGTCTGGTCGTCTTTCCTTACTATATAGGACCGAGGTACAACATAGTAAAAAAAGAAAATGTACAATGAAAATTTCACTTCCTCATAAACGTCATCGTTCTTTTCCAGCCGTCCTGGAAAAGAAAAAAGAAAATGTAAGTGCATGTCGAAATACACTCGTATGTGCGTAAAAACACAATGTCGGCGAAAAAAATTGGAATATAAACTAATTTACACGTAATATCGTTAAAAAAATTTATGATGTTTTTTTTGGAATAAAAAATAAAAATATATAAGCATATTAAAATTGTTTTTTAAAAAAATATATAACGTAAAAAGAAAGATCGAGATAATATTAAATGTCTAGTAGTGCCTTACGTGCAATAGTCGTTTAAATGCTCTGGAAATCTAACTCTTCTTCCAGAACGCGTCGTTTTAAGTTTGTTTTCAGATACATTCGGAGTATCATCGCTAGTGTTGGTTGTCGGTTGAGGAATTATGAGTGGAGTCGTGTCGTTCGATTGTACCGAAGGAAAATCGACGTAGATAGGATTTCCTTCTAAATACGCTGCTTTGAGGCGATCGATGCTGATGCTATCGTTGGTTCCGTTCTTATCGATTATATAGTACTTCGGTTCGCGTTGAAGAACTTTGAAAGGTCCTTCGTATGCTGATTCGAATGGTCGTCGATGCGAGTCTCGACGAACGAAAACGTGTGTACTATATCGTAAGTCAGGTTGAACGAAAACATCAGTTGATTGAGGTCGAGTGGAAGCAGGTTTAACTGAACGCATTGCGTTTGTAAGCCTGTTCGTGTAGGAGGTTAGATCCATGTTCATTGAAGAGGACGAAGGATCCACGAATTCTCCTGGAAGTCGAAGTGTCGTTCCATAAACGAGTTGAGCCGCAGTGTATCCAATGTCAGCTTTCACTGCATTGCGGATACCTAGTAAGACGAGTGGAAGAGCGTCGGTCCACTGTGAAACGTTTGCAGCTGATAGTGAAGCTTTTAGTTGTCGGTGAAAGCGTTCTACCAACCCGTTTGCTTGTGGGTGGTAGGCGGTCGTTCGGAAGCGAGTGGTTCCTAAAAGTGTGGTCAGACGACGGAAAAGTTCAGATTCAAACTGACGTCCGCGGTCTGTAGTGATGGTTGAAGGGCAGCCGAAGTTTGCTACCCATCGTTCGACGAAGGCGCGGGCCACTGTTTCAGCAGTGATGTCCTTGATAGGTACTGCTTCTGGCCATCGAGTGAAACGGTCTACGCAGGTTAAGAGGTAAGAGTATCCATTTGAATCTGGTAAAGGTCCTACCAAATCCAGATGAACATGGTCGAAACGAGCATCGGGAGTTTTAAATGAGCCTAAGGGACATTTATTGTGTCTGATAACCTTAGATTTTTGGCGGCTTACACAGGAACAGACTCACAGTTGCAATTAGGTGTACCAGATCACGTCGGTCTCACTAATGAAGGATGACACAGGTATTCAGTGTTTGACAACGCTTCTACCAGTAACACCTAATATGATTTGTACCCACCGAGAGAAATCAAAAGACAGAGTCGAGGAGATCGGAAGAGTATATTGGCGATAACCAATATATCGGAATTCTCTGATCTAATCTGGATAGCGATTGCGGTAGATGTTGAGCACGGCGTTACCACACGTGATCTGTTGCGGATGCCTGACCGAGCGCCTTCAGCTAGATGAGTCCACTAAAACATATGGTCAGCATCCAATGTCGAAAACTTACAGGGCTATTTATTTTGGGGATTTATTTACCACCACAGGTTCTTAAGTCGTCACCAATTGTTGGAACATGTTACCGAAGAAATTGTGCCCACCCCTTTAATGGAAAATCTTATAGAAGACTAGATGTTCTCACGAGCTTACTAGAAAATGACCTACATAGGCCATAGGCCTTCTGCCATAAATTCGGGTCTGAAACTAAAATCTTCCCTTAAGCACCAACTTGTATCGATGATCCACGTCTACCACTTATCAAAATAAGCCAAGCGAAATCCACTTTTACTTTACTGCAGAAATTTAAGCTAACAAATTGTTCAGACTTTAGAGCTAGAAGAAACGACCTTTCACACCATTACGAGTAGCCCGCGGGTTTTGACACTACTAAATGGATGAGAAGTACGACATTATTGTGCTTGGTACTGGTTTAAAGGTATATCACTTTAGATCATAACAGTGTTGTTTTGAATAGGAATGTATACTCAGTGGTTTGATGTCCGTTGAAGGAAAAAAGGTCTTGCACATGGATAGGAACAACTATTATGGTGCAGACACTACATCAGTTACACCACTCGAAGCACTTTTCCAAAGGTTCAATGTAAGTGCAGGCCTTCAAGCATTTGGCCGAGGAAAGGACTGGAACGTCGACCTGATTCCAAAGTTCTTAATGGCTGATGGTAAGGAATACGTGCATCTAATAGATATTTTCTAGGAAAATTAGTAAAATTGCTTGTCCATACTGGTGTTACTAGGTATCTTGAGTTTAAAAGTATTGAGGAGAGCTATGTATTCGACAAAAATGCGATTCATAAAGTTCCAAGTAGCTCAAGCGAAGCTTTTTCGACAAGTAAGTGTTTCTCTTAACTAATGATTACAACAGGCTTGGTTTCCTTATTCGAGAAAATGAGACTCAAGAGTTTCCTGCAATGGGTTTTGGATGTCGATCCTGATAAACCCGCAACTTGGACTACTGTGTATCCTCCACCGAAAAGTGTAAAAAAGGATTCTATTGATGTGGCTTTTTCACACTTTGGTGTTAATGAGACTACTAAGGTCAGCTAATATTTTTAAATTCACGTCCTCTTTAACGCATACTCAGGGTTTAAAACACTACACATACCTAAGCTGTTTTCGTACTCGAGGTTTGAAACTAAAAGTTCACAAAAACAATATTTTTAGGTTAAGTTAAACTACTGATGGCTAAGTCATAATAGGATGCTCTAAAATCTCGCGGGATAAAGAAAAACGACTTAACACTCGTTCTTCGCATGGACAGAATAGCAGAAGGCTAACAGTCTCACAAATGACCATTCGCAAATCCGGAACCCTCAACCTTCTCAATATGAGGCAGCTCGAAAACACTTCTTGCTTACGAAGAATGTATTTGTAAAACCTTAGCGAATGGATTTGAAGCAAATCCGACGTTTTGCTTGGCAATCAGGTTTAAGCATTTCCTAGGAAATATATTAAATCATCAAAATTATCGGATATAAATAAGTGATGTGGTTCTCTGGTTAACCGTGTACTCAACAGGACATCCAATCATGTTAACTGTGCTCAAAGTAGGTATTTGCTTTAGTCTGTATGAGACATGTGGTGTGAAACAAAAAGCGTGTTAATATGACAGGTTGTGTGTATTCGTAAGCGGATCTGAGGTGTGAGAAGAAATCTCATTCACCTCTTAACACATCTGATCAGTGAATTTCTAGGAAAAATGTACAATTTTTATATCTGATATGAATCAGATATGTCACTGTATGCATAAAATGAAGACGGAACAAAAGTGGAGGAATGAATGTTATTTTTATCGTCCCAGTTTTCCGTTACAACTAACTTCAGTGACGTGGAATAGTATATAGCACTGCCCCTGGTTTTCAACAGTATTTAGAATTTTGAGTGTTTGTGGAAATATTCATTCCTTTACTTCTAAGCATGTGGTTCTGAGTGGTTTGTAACTTAATGAATGCACCATTTGAAATTTTTCCGCATTTATTTGTATTCGATGCGAATCGTCAATCTCCTAGTCACCCAACTTAAAATTTGACATACAAAAATAATCCCACTTAATTTTTTTTAATGTGCAGACTCTCGTCGGTCATGCTATTTGTCTGTATACAGACGATTCTTACAGACAAAAAGCACCAGCTATCGAAGTCATCTCCAAAATGCAGCTCTATTATCGTTCGGTCAATCGGTTTGGCAAATCTCCATATCTTTATCCTCTTTACGGTTTAGGGGAATTGCCCCAATCTTTTGCTCGACTTAGCGCGGTATATGGAGGTACATATATGCTTGAAAAACCAGTGGATGAAATTGTGATTGAGGATGGTAAAGTTGTTGGGGTGAAGTCTGATGGTGAAACCGCACGTTGTGAAAAAGTGATATGTGATCCTAGCTATGCTCCAAATCGCGTCCGAAAGTGTGGTCAGGTTAGTGATTAAGGATATTTCTTGATTCATCAGTATCTCAACCTTTATGTACTTATCTTCCTTATCTTTGTATTGAAAGTACAATTCGACCAAACTTCTTGAATATCATATGGGAAAAGTTTACCTGTCGTGAGATGCTTGACAAATTCTGTCCTTCAAGACGATTTGGAAATGTTTGATTCCACTCCGTTTACGTTTAAGAATGTGTATATGCGGGTAATTCGTCACGTAAAATTGATTATCTGCTTAAAGTACGAAGCAATAAAATAGTTTAAGTTAATAATGTGAAGTATTTTCATATATTAGACTATCACAACCGTTGAGTAGTGGCATTATCCAATCCTCTAGCTTGTGTTAGTAATAATGCGTTTTAGTTTTGAAACTAGAATTCTTGTCATACGCTTGGAAATCATAGTGCAATCATTTTTGCTACTTAACGGTTACTTCATCATTCAGTTTTGTATTTCCTGTAATAAAAGATCGTTGTACACATAAAATTCTTTTTCTTGAATCAGTAAAAGTTCCTATAAAGAGTTACATAATGTCTGTGGTTTCATCGTTTCGCCACTGGTCAAGTGCGATATTCACTGGTATAGGAGTAGGTTCAAAGAAAGCTAGGGGCGGCCAGACCAAAGCATGGCACAAGTCCATCAAGTCACTGACAAGTGGACTGAGTCATGTTGGTAGGTGTTAACTACCTGATTGGGGACCGCGAGATGATAGCAACCGATGGTTAGAGACCCTGAATGACATGGCTCAGAATCGTTTGCAATGGCGCAGGTGCATAAACTCGTGTTTTCTCAAATTCTAACCTCCTGAATCCTCCTTGTCTCTTTTTCTCTCTTCCCAAATTTATTTCACTGGATTATACTCTCCAAATAACATCTCCAAACCCTAATCTTTCCCATTACTGCTTATACTGTTACTACCTCTACCACTACGAGATTTGAATCGACAACTGCATCTCTGTGTTAATGTGGTGTGGCAACTCGAACTGATGTGCGTACGTACGAAGTTTTACGTTGTTACTGACTGACTGGTCAAGTACTTAATCGTCAACCTGAGGCGTCATAGAATAAAACAGCATATTGAGAAATAATTTAGCTATTACCCGGACCGTAGTAACTCCTGTACCCAAATACGTGGGGGGATTTCAGTGTGAAAACATTTAAGTTTGAATTTTAGGACATGATTTTCAGGTGCTGACAACACTATTGTACAGAAATAATCTTGTATGGATAAGTCGAAACTAAAAGAAACATCAGAGACCACTATTAGTGTTGAGCCATAATGTTCACAAACATGTATAATAGCCGAGAATGATTGATGTACCAACATTTTGTCTGAATACTAACCTGATTTTCACAGATCTATTAGATGACCTGTCTGTTTCTATACAAACTAACATATTGTGCACAATAATTTTCACTACGTGTTATTTGTCCAGCTTGAAGCGCTTTGACTGTATGACTTCAAGTCTCTTAAGTGAACTCATAACCTGATTGAGGTATTTTTTCAGTTTGAATAAAAGTAAGAATTATGTTAACGTTTGTCCACTTCTATAGTATGAAAGAACCAGATTCCTACTTTGACGAATACCTCATTAAATGTCTTCATTTAAACAAAGAGCACAAAAGTTATATTTAAATTTTCCTCGTAGTTATTGTTCTTCGGGATTTTATATAATTAAATCTTCTTCGTCCTAGTATTCCTAAACACTTCACTTAATTCGACCGGTTTTGAAATGAAAACACGACTTGGAAACATTAATGTATTCTGAAGCGAACACCAAAATAAATTAGTTTAGTAATGTTATGATCTCTCTTACTACGACCCAGATGCTCAACGCTTAGTATTCTTGGACACTACTTCACTCAACAAGTCCCCAAATCAGAAAACGGTCGAACAAAAACGTAATTGTGTTCCAAATAAAATAAGTTGAATAGAAGTAGGAATCACAGTAAGAAAAACCTTAGTGTATATATAAATTTTACACAAGAAGATTCCACTGTCTTCCCCAAGTATCTCTTGGCACCGATTGGCTAAGAACTGGCTAAACACAATCGTGCACGGAACATGTTTTAATCCAATCCATATCCATCCCGCTAACAAGCAAGGAAATATCAGTGTATATGTAAATTCTACACAGGAAAATTCTAGTCTTTCCGGCTTATTAGCATTGATTGGTTAAAAATGCATTAGTCTACGCGCCTTAACGTAGTTTCGTCCGAAAAATGACTCAATCAGATCTCGAACTTGCTGGGAGTTATTTAATCTGCATTCTTTCTTACTAGTCTTTTTCATAAATGCATGGTTACCATCTCAGTGGGCTACAACACAACTTACAACCACCAAGTGCAGGTACCACGTATAATTTGTGTTGCTTTCTCCTGTCCAATTTTAGGATTAGTTGTTAGAAATATCATTATTGTTCCCAATACTAGCTACTTTTATCTGTAACTTTCAAAATTTCCTGGCAAATAAACTGTTTGTAAAGAGTTTGCACAGACAGACAAAATTAAATATTGTGAGGAATAATTTGTCAGTTGAATAATGTTTTATAAAACCGGCTAGTAGCTTAAAGGCCCTAAATCTGACTCCATTTGGATCGTATGATTGATTGTTATTGAAATATACATGTTGTCAATCCTCGCATATAATCATCGACTTAAATTGCGTTAGTGAATAACGAAATTAAATAAGTCAAATACGAGATTTTTGAATGCGTATATTTTGTAAAATCGTCGATCAGAACAGATAATCAGAAAAACAGAGTGAAGAAAAGAGCAAAGCGAAACGGGTTGACATGCAGTGAAGATGGCATGTTAACCAACTCGATTTAAACAAGCGTGAATCAATATTTCTAGTCAGACAAACATAAGTTACAGACATGTGATGAGTAAGATAAGAAATGCACACATACGCTTACATAAAAAGTCAAAGTTGATAAGCGAATAATTGACAGGGTATAAATGTGGCTTGTGGAAAAATGAATAGATTGTTCTATCCAGAGGCTCGAAAACGCTATGTGGGCTTGATATAGCAGCCGACATTTCAGTAGCTAACGTACACGTTAGATTCATTACATGCATAAATATTAAGCAATACAAATAAATTTAATGTATTACAAACAGACCAAATAATCAATCTACACAGACGTGTTTCGATATTGTCAATATATTAATGTGTTTATACATTATAAAAATCAGAAAAATATGTTTATAACACTTCTTCAAATGAGAAGTTTAGCTGTTACTCATGCAGTTGAGTCGACAGTATATCAGATATTGAAATGAGGTCAAATTATTCAGCTATTATATGGCTTAGTGTAATCAGGGGGAAGATTAGTGCGTTGATGCACAAAATAAGTTAATGTTTCTATCGTCTTTATGATAGGTTTATTTTAAAAATTCTAAATCCATTAGGTTTACTAAATGCCCTTCAAATTTGAGTTTTAGGTTTTGTAGAGAATAGTTTCTAAAAACCTGATTTGTTAAGATCCCAATTGATTCATTTCTGTTCTCCGGTTGGTTTTTCATTTTTATATTCTACTTCCAACCAATGGGTCGTATGCACTCTTTGGTTCAGATAGTCGTATGTCAATACTGATGTTTACACTTCTCCAACAGTACCCTGGTTAAAGTCCATTCATTAATCGACTAGTTTGAAAGTTCCAATGGTAAAACTGCCTATATGATAATTAAATCAATGTCTACCCAGTTGCATATCCTACAACAAGTTATTAGTTTCTAGGAATATATATTCCATCATGAATATTGTAAAGTACGGGACTTATTACCATTCTTCGTTCTCATCTTTACTCACTAGGTTGTTCGTGCCATATGTATTTTAAACCATCCCATTCCAAATATCAAGAATGCTCTTTCATCACAAATAATCATTCCTCAAAACCAAGTTGGTCGACGTCATGGTATGTTAATTTGGATTAATCTACATGCATGTTTGTCTTCCAGATATATATGTTTCGTGTGTCTCTCATCCACATTACGTATGCCCAGAAAAATTCTTTGTTGTCTTAGTGGCGACAACTGTAGAAACATCAAATCCACACCAAGAACTTCAACCTGGTTTACAATTACTTGGACGTATTGAACATATTTTCTATTCGGTAGCAGATTTATTCGAACCTGTAGATGATGGTAGATCAAGTAATGTAAGTTCTATTCTCTATTTTTTAATGTGATCGAAAAATTATCTTTAGCTAGATATATTCTCAGGAACAGTAAATTTAAATTTCCATTACTGTAAGCGTATCCACTTGCTCATAATCGTTGAGGCCCACACACACTAGGGCGTAATGGCCTGTTTACTGGACTAAACCATTACTCCAAACTTTCCTGACTCGAATTACTCTGGTCATATTGTGGTTCAGTGTCCAACGTATAAATCCCTAACTTCAGCTCATTAGTCTTCAAAAAGTAGTGGGCAACTAGTTTTGTGCATAATATTTCCACCTTATTAGTCATTTTTCTAACCGTCGTTTTATGAAATTATAGGCATTTCCATGGATAATGACTTATGATTCCCAAAAAAACTATTCTATAACTGCTAATAAACGACACGTGGTGCCAAATACGAATTCCAATCACAGTATCCATGAAATGTTCGATTAAAACCCATCGCATACAATCTAATTTTTAATCGATTCCAGTTCACCTAACTTCCTATAGTGAACAAGCAGTATCGATAAAAATTCTGGTCGCTAAAGAGAATTGCCTGGGTTTCTGTGTTATTTATTTTATTTTAACACATAGATATTGGTACAAGAAGGCACCAAATACATATGCGCCACACAAATCTCATTCGATATGTGTGAGGGCTGTGATACTGCCCGGGTGCCCAAACCGAAGCAGGTGGTTTCCTTAGGGGGCCACTCCCCGAGCCTTCGACCTGAAGGTCTGATCCACAAGGCAGTGGAGCATCGTACGGAGATGCAGTCCCATGGAAGCCGGTGACCAACGATTGGTTCATACGCCATTTGTTCCCGCAGGATACTGGAGCCCATGTGCACCATTGGTTTGGAATCCGGTTAAAGCGCCGGACATTCGCTTTTCGTCCTCTCTTTTTCGTAAACAACACCCCCGCCACGAGAAGGCAGTGAGTAGGACTTTCTATGTATCCTAGTCCAGTTGCAAGCAGAACTTAATCTTCATATCCATTCACAACTCAGCAATAACATTCTAAAGGATTTTCCCTAGATCGTAAAACTGCTACAAACAAGGTTTCAAGATTGCTCTTACAGCAATATTCCCTTCCTGTTATATGCGATTCAGAACAGTTATTGCAAATTCTAGAATACATTTCTCAGTCTTAATGCGGTACTCACCCTTTCATTGACAATAATTAAGCTTTTTATCGAACGTCAATCTTAATAAATTCGACTAGTAAAAAGTTTCACCTATTTACAATAGAAGAAAGTAATTACCAGGTTCATAATAATTATCTTTAGAAGTTGAAAATGTGTAAATATTGCTTATCAGAGTAAGGTTCTGATATATATATATATATATATATATATATATATATATATATATATATATATATATATATATATATATATATATATATATCAATGGTAGTTTCTTTTTGTAAACTAAAACGAGGGATTTTCCTGGATTCTTAGTTTAGTTTTCTCTTTTTTCAAGTGGTGTATATGAACAGTTAAAATCTATTGAGAGTCAATGGGTAAATTGAAGTGCTCTTCAGTATATAAGAAAATTTCCATGTCTAGATTTTGTTTACCTTCCGACAATGATCATTTATCAAATATCAGTCTCCGATAAATTCGTTAATTGCCTTTGAACTCTTAGGGCTCAAACAATATAACACTATTGATAACATTCGCCTACATTATAAGTCTTTGTTACTTCAACTTCAAGTCTAAATGCCAGTATTTATTCATTTGTTCTTCGTTAATTTTCCTCGTTTTCAATTTCAGATATATATTTCAAAGAGTTACGATGCATCAACTCACTTCGAAAGTACATGTACTGATGTGTTAGAAATGTACGAACGAATAACTGGAAGTCCATTTGACTTCAGTAAAGTTACAAGAAATTTAGAAGATGATTCATAACAATAATATTGTCACCATAAATTAATCTCCCACTAAATAAATGGAAACAATTGCAACAATAATAATCCCAATAATTATTACCTTCGTTATTTAAAACTTATTGACATTATTGGTCTACTACTTTGTTTTCTTTTTTTTTTCTTAATTCGCTCTGTTGTTCATTCCAACCATTGCTACTAACATTACTATGTGCGAACGACCCCATACTGTTACACAACAGTGACATGTTTTTGTTTGTATTCACTTTCTATTATGTTCTACCATTGATTCATTATTTTTTAACCATTATTCAAATATTCACTTATGAACACCGACTTCACTAAATCTTCATATTTGGTTGTTTTTTTGTTTAATTTGTTTCATTTTGTTGTGATATCCCATTCGCTTTCTCGGTCAATTTTATCGTGTTCTGTAATAAACTTTTGTATTCTATCATAATATTAATTGGAAGTCTCCAGTGTGACTAATAATTATACTTACAATATTTGAAGATTTAGTACAATTTTGTGAAATGAATGTATCAGTATGAGGGATTTATAGAGATTGTAGTTATTTCACAGTTGAAATCACGAGTCGACCTAAGCTAGACAACCATTGAAAATCCGGAAGCACTAAGCGGCCGTTTTGTCCTAGTGTAGGACTCTTCAGTGGTGGTCACCCACGATTCCTCACGCGGGACTCGAACCCAACCGTGTTGAGTGCGGGACTGTTATCCACTGTAGGCAACGGACAAATGGTTGCCCAAGATCATGGATTAGTTGAGGTTAGACATTAACATCGTTGAGTACCTGCTCAGTGGTCTAGAGGTTAAGCGTTCGCGCAACATCTAAAGTCCTGTGTCTTGGACCATGGATTGGCACTACTGAGGAACCCCATACTAGAACGGAGCGGATGTTCAGTGCTTCCAGGTTTTCAATGTTTGTCTAGCTTAGATCGGCTCATGATTCCAACTGCGAAAATGAGACTATGTCTTTTCTGTTAAGTCCGTGATTGGTTACCATTTTAAATTGACTAAATCTTTTGTCAGTGAATGGAGTCATAAATCACTCGTTCTTATTTTGTTTCACAAATTGAATCTTTAAGTGAAGTCAGTCCCACTAATTTCATCTCTCTGACACTCAACTTTACATTTTTCATCACTGGTATGTCCTAGTCGATTAGCAGGATATGATTGACTTGCACTTGCAAGTCCACAAAAACATTACTGTTACCTCTCAATACCTTATATCTCATCTAGCCACAGTAATATCAAAAGGCAGCCCCTGGCTTACGGTATGGAAGCATTATAACCCTACATACATTTCCAACCAGCCTAAAATTACAGATGTAATGGCATACTGATTGTTTCAAACGAAAAAAACATACTCCCGAGTAAGATTATTCAGAAGTGAAGAGATTGATTCCTTGAGAACTAGTTGTTTCAAATTTTGATCCCTAATTTGGCTGCTACCTATGACCCACCTTATCGACTTTTATTTTTCTAGTGGCGTTAGTTCTGTGTTACAATAGGTGTATTGAGTTATTTGCTGGTCAAACATGAGCTACTGGTTTTGTCTACTATGATAAGATACGTGTGGTGATTGCCATATCAAATTGTTGTGATGCTCGTCCGAGAGCCAATAATTGTACACAATCCTATATACGAGCCCAACTGTCTATTCGAATGTAAAGGAAGTTTGTTGACTAAGCCGAATCGACACTTATGAATGTTCATATGTATACATGCTTATATATCTATCTCTTAGAAAAGCAAGCTACCAGTTGTGTCTGTTTACTTAGAAATGAAAACTACTTTCTAGCCAACTACGTGCACTTATCATATGGTTGATTTTTGATTGGCCCGACGTATCGCAAACAACGGTCAAAATTATCTCCCAGTCTCTGACTTAATTTCAACTTGTGTAATAATAATAATTTAACTAGATCTTTAGGGATATGCTTTCATAAGATGTGTAACAATTGATAGAGGTAATATAATTACTATTTTTTAATCATAACGCACGTAGAGCTAATGTGTGGTATTTTGAACTGGTGTTGGTAATAATGAAATAATTGCAAATATTATTCGTTCACTATGATAATAAAGTAATACTATGGGCTAACTTCCGATAGGATGTTAAGATGTATAGAGTTCTCACATTATATACAACAGTATTGGTCCGAAAAATGCTTGATCATACGATACAGATACTTAAATGCCATTTTACTTATGAATAAGTTCTCTCCTGGAACACTTTTCAAACAAAACCGGTACTATGTCAACGCTCTAGTTGTGGCCTATCCAATAGCCTATAATTCTAATTTCGGTAAATTTAATGTCGGTGATATGTGCTTCATTCCTAACATAATTAAACTCCATTGGTCATGAATTCATTCAGAGAACTTTAATAATTTATCTGTTTATATATATTGTCCAATATGTCCTCGTTTTAAGACATGTTTGTGAAGAGTCGATTTTTTCACCAGTATAAATTTTCATTAACTTACGTAATAAATTACTCCCTTTTTAGTTTTAAGCTTTTTTGGCTCTGCGGCTATAGATTATTTTCGATTAGGGTATTTTAGTGAGCTATTTTATTACAAATTGATGTTACTCAGTGAATTATCTGTATTTCGAATAGAACTTAATAGAACATTCTGAATACACTTTGGAAATTCCACTTAATTAAAGAAAATACAAAACTATATGATCATTTATTGCTTGAAACACTCAGATTAATTGATCCACTCATCATCTTTCTTTTTTTTCTTCAGAAAATCAATGCTGCTATGCTTAGACACAAAACTTTAGAAGTGAAGAAATGTAGACTCTTAATAAACATATTGATATAGATAAGAAATTCTTAGTAGGATTCAAGTTCTCAACAAATATTTCTTATTCTTTTACAAAACAAATTCGGCGAGACTATAATTTATGGACGACCTTTGAACGATTCTTAAGTGACCTTGATAAACATAAGCCAATCAGAAAACAGTAAGTATAGAGTAAAAACATATTATACAAAAACAAAAAAATAAATTGGATACAGTTCTTTTACATGGTTCAAAAACTTGTCAAGGTTAGAAAGAGGCTCAGAGGTTCTAAAATCGTAATGCATGCAGTAGAGGAACTCATCCATATGGCTACAGAATAGTCGGCCTCTGAAGCCATGAAAAAGTCTCAAAAACTCTTTCAACCTGGACCACATAGCTTCAATATTGTTTGCGTGCACTCCGGTTGTTGAGTATACAAAATGCCACTTGTGGATAACGAAACGATGCACATAAACAAGCATATGTAGGAGTCTGTACGCTCTTCAATCATTCGTATATATTGTAATACCTGGCTGCAGCCAGTGTGACTGGTGCTTTTATAATCCAGTTCGAAATAATTGTCATAATTTGCCTTAGTTAGGAATTATATATAGGGTTTCCATCACGAACTGACATCAGCTATAATGCCAGAAATCCATTTAGCCAAATGGACGAAAGGCTTTCGCGCCAAAATCCAAGATTTCTTGTCTTATACCTGATTGATTGAGCCACAGATTATAGTCTCGCCGTTTTATTTGTTATAGCCTCTCAATTATCACATTTTGTCCCAAATTCTCTGTGAACTGATCGTTGAGCACCGAAGTTGACACCGTGACCTTGAAATCTCTCAGACGCTTCTGATTGGCTCGTTTATAAATTAGAGTATCGCCACAAATTCAATAATAACTATGTCTCAAATGTTAAAATAAGATAATCAATTCTCAATCACTGAAAATAATTAATTTTATCCCCGTGATAGAATAGTGATATTCAAAAGTGATCTGTGTGAAGAAGTAAATATAATTAATTAATTGATTAGTCTTCTTTATAATCAAGATTACTGGATCTTGTTTATTCAAATGAAATACATAAATGAAGTAACATAATTCATGTAGTCCACTTAATTGAAGAAAATTGTCTTCATTTTTAACTCAATGGATGATAATTGATTATTTAAATCGCTGAGCTATTATTCAACCTGGTTATAACAATAAATCACTGATTTAAATATGAAATTAATTTCAAATTCTATAAAGAAAGTATTAGTTACTAAATAACCTTCACTTCATATATCATAGTTAACAGCAATGGCTTAAAATATATTTGTCTATAGGAATAAACAAGATTTCATAATAAGATGAACTAATCAGACAAAAAAAGAATTATTCTGTATAGTGATCATAATTTTATTTTAAAAAAGGAAACTAAACCAGAATGCTCAGTTTGCTCATAAAATAGTTTTAATTTGATATTCAAATAATCGATTGAACTGAAGGAGAAAATCAGTGAGGCAAAATGCTTATGGTCAGTTACGTGAATAAAATTTAATTTCATTTGATATAAGGACCAATTCAATTTTTTATTAAGTTTTTATCTGATGTTTAAATGTGTTTGGGTTGTTTATAGAGTTTGCAGATATAAACTAGGTATTAAATAAACTTATTCAGTTCCATAATCAATTTATATGGATAACATTACAGATTCAATCTCTTTAATACATAACAATGAGTTTTAATCAATTTCAAATAGTGAGAGGTACATATCAGTTCGTGATTCATTGTATCTGGGACCTAATACGGTTTTAAAAAAAGTAACTAGTAACCTAGAGGTCATTGGTTTAATTCTTGTTAGTAATCTGTTCGCATACAAAAAATGGTTTATCAATATATGTCATCAAAGGTTATGTGGAAAGTAAATTTTCATTCAACCACACAACAGTGGAGTGACCTGTATGTGATAATACTAAATTAGCCTTATAATCAATCGATTTGTTTATGTCTTTAATACCGTAGTGAGTTATGTTACGTAATTACCATTTTACAATAACGAAGATAGTATAATTCAACTTCTGATAAAAAGCTGTTTAAATTATCAGACCAATTCGTTTTTACAATTTTCCAGTGTTTAGCATGAAAGTATCGTAAATGAACTACAGGTGGTTGATCAGTATTCTTGATAATGATCAATTATCTGCTTAATAGAGATAGCTACCAACTAATGACTCATTAACTATGGTACTGTGGCTTGTTATAATTCTGAATAACACAGTTTAAGCAATCTACTTATTAAATACAATTCATGTTTCCACTACTGACTATAACACACTAATTAATACCACTAAAACAGAAATGAGAAAAAACTATAATTATAATTTCATAAATATAGTTCGTTTGTACCGATTTCTTTTACATGAATGGGTAACCATATTTTAAAACGTTTCAATGATAGATTTTAATGATTTTATGAGCAGTTCTCAAAGTCAAAAAGACAAGATTAGATTAACTTGAAGAAAGTATATAAGCTAGAGTACAGCTAAAATTTCTTATTTCTAACGCTAAAAATTTCTGCGAAGTTCTTTCAAGTTCAGATCCGCCAAAATAAAGTGTTTCATAATTCATTGTTTGGGAGAAGAATTAAAAGAAAACTCATAAAACTTTATGGTATTCATCACATAGACATTATATAAGACAGAAGA